GCAACAGACTGCCTCACCGTGTCCCATCCCAGGCCTGCTAGTGCTACGAAAATCAGAGCTTGTCGTTACGCTAGGAGCTTCGCCACATCGCATGGCTGACACGTAATGAAACAGAGGAAACCAAAATGTGCTGTCGTGACAGGCTGCTTGGGATCAGTCGCAATGGTCTAGGATGATAAGAAAACTAGTGGTACACTATTGAGAGCTTACCGTTTGCGATACGCTGGGATCTTTGAGCCATTCAACGGATGGGATAGTTCAGCTTGTGGCACTGAGTGTCAGATGTCCTGAGTGTCAGTCAGAGTGAGTGTCAGGATATATGGGGTCATAAAGGCCTCGCTTGAGAGATGAATGTGTTCGTGGCACTTCACTAGAGTGCATGTTAGTTGAAGTGCGGACGCTTTCTCATGACGAGATCATTCTGATACTTGTGCCGCGGCATATGCTACACAGTATGACTGTGCTCGTTATACCTGAGTGCGGATGCATGGGGCTGCATTGCTGTTGCTCGACTGGTATCCCGTTTTTATTTTAGCTTCTATCACGATGATGCGTCGCCGAACTTTAAGGTCTCCTCGTACCCATTCCAACAGAATGTCTTTGAATGTCTAGATTATCCTGTTAGCAGAACGTAAACATTCTAGCTCATGTGATCCAAGTTGATCCTTGCTGTGACACACAGGTACCGACCACATCGCCGTGTCTCAGGCTGACAATGACAATAGTAGTACCACAAGCCAGGCATGTGGGCTGTGCCGAAATATGTTAAAAATCCAAGGTTGAAATAACAATTGTCGTTCATGCAGCACACGGTACAAAGGCGTAAAAAGCAACACATCGTTATTTGTAACTGCTCCCTAAGTTTCGAATCGCCATAACCTGCGGTATGCCCAGCTACCATGAATCTGAAAATCAGGCAAATCGTAAGGGTGAACGAAATCAGTCCCACCGACTCCCATGTCAATATCTATGGTAAAACAAAGTATTAGGTGAGATACTGATTTCGCATTGGTGTGACTCTGGAACAAAACGTGCACGTAGAAAATGCGGCCTAGTTTGTGGATCACTTTGCCAAGCCGAGTCGGTCGATTTTCCCGACCATATTCAGTAAGATGTTATTTAACGCTAGAAGATCTCACCGCCAGTTTTTGGATGAGAACCTGCTTTCCCCGGCCTATCTGCCATGGAAACTGTTGTGTCAGATGTCCAGCAACAATTAACGTGAAAATCAGAGAAATCGTAGTGGCGGATGAAGTCGGTTTTATTGACGCCTATGTTAATCGCCAAGGAAAATACACCATGAGGTAAAGCTGATTCTTTATTACTGTAACTCAGCATCCAAAAACGCAGCTATGAAACAAAGCCGGGCTTTGGAATCCTTGTCATGTTGTCATTTATTTCATTCATTCATTCGTCGTTTTCAAATTGTCGAGTGGTTTAGGGTACAACACGACCATATTTGGTAAGATGTGATTTTTGGTGAGACATCTCAGCTTCAGGTCGTGGGTGAAAACCAGTTTTTTACTTCGTGGGAACTTATGTGTCAAATATCTAGCTATGGCCAATTTGAATATCGGGGAAATCATAGGGAGCCGATAAGATCAGTCCTATTGACTGGCATGTTAATATCATCGGGAAATAAAGCATTACGTGAAAATCTGATTTCACATTACTGTAACTCCAGCAAGAGAGATGCAAATAGAAAATAAAGCTCAAATGTATGGTTAGCCTGTGATGCCGAACTACTTGAGGTGCCTGGATTAACTGATTAAAATAATTTTTGCCCGGCCACGACCACTTTCGACACAACAGTGGACCACCGCACACAACAGCGCCAGGGAAGCTCACACTGCGCGCGCGAGCGGCACCAACTAGATGTCCGCTCATGGCTCATACACGCAGCGCATTCCGTGGCGACTGGCTGGCGCTACTATACCCCATTCCTAGGCGGTTTGCGTGCCTGCAAGGCGACGCACCGCCCCGGGCCGTGACCCTTCACCCCAGTCTGTACGGTGATGCGCCGCCCAGGGCCATACCCCTCCGCCTCAGCATGTATGGTGACGCACCGCCCCAGGCCGTGACCCCTCACCCCAGTCTGTACGGTGGCGCGCCGCCCAGGGCCATACCCCTTCGCCTCAGCATGCATGGTGACGCACCGCCCCAGGCCGTGACCCTTCACCCCAGTCTGTACGGTGGCGCGCCGCCCAGGGCCATACCCCTTCACCTCAGCATGTATGATGACGCACCGCCCCAGGGCATAACCCGCCGATACCACATCATACGACCATATCCGGCAAGATTTGACATTTGGTGAGATGTCTCAGCTTCAGTTTATGGGTGAGAACCTGCTTTCCCCGGCCTTATTTTCATGGGAATTGATGTGTTCGATGTTCAGCTACGGTTTATCTGAAAATCAGGAAAATGGCACGGGCCGACGAAATCAGTCCCATTGCCTCACATGTTAATCTCTATGGGAAATAAAGCATCAGGTTAAAACTGATTTCACATCACTGTAACCAAGCAGCCAAAAATACAAATAAAAACAAGGTCCAAATTTAGAACCAGCATGTGAGGCCGAGTCCTTTGATGTGCAACACGACCATATTCGGTGAGATTTGATTTTTGGTGAGGTATCTCACTTTCAGTTCATGGGTGAAAACCTGCTTTCCTCCGGCCTAATTTGCAAGGAAATAGATTTTCCACACGACCAGCGAAAGTGTATCTGATAATATTTCGTCTGCATTGGCCGACCGTGGGCTGAGCGTGGGCAGTTTTGGCTTGTCTGAAAAATTGGCTTTACTTCAATTCTGCTGAGTTTCTGGGACTTTTTCGAGAAATGCCGTGACACCATTGACTAAAGTAAACAAAGCAGACCATTTTAAATATATGACTTGCTTGATTTGGTCGGCATTGACTGTTTTCATGTCAATTTTGTGAAACTGGCTATGGAAGCCAAAATTTTATATTACCCGCACACTGGGGCGTATGGATGTGCTCAGTTTATACGGACTGCTAACATATCACATTTTGAGCGTTTTTGAAGAGGCCGCTTGTATGGGCCGACCGTGGGCTGACCGTGGGCTGTCCCGACACACATTGTTGAAAAGGTCACAAATGGGAAGATGGGTGGCATGACTGCGCACGAGCAACTTCAAACATTTCTTACCGGCACTCACAATAGTACTCTCCTGCTACGTTTAACGGCTCTATTCATGGCACGAATACGGCCAAGAAATAAATGACTAGTGTATGGATCATGTAGTGCATATCAATGCACCGTTCTATCTGTGTTGTCAGTAAATTATGACGCCGATGCTGTGCTCGAACCGAACAATTATCAAACCCTGTGACAAATTATATAAAAAAGTCCCGCGAAAATTTGTATGGAAAACGTCAGCAGTGCGTCAGAATTGAATCACTAACAGGTCTTCCCAGTAACATTAGCAGTTTTGATATTTTCACAAGACTATCAAAAATGCTCTTGAGTCCAGACAAAATTAAGAGAACTTGCCGCACCCCATTCGAACACTATGGATTAGGATCACGCGGCAATGCGCGGCCGACCAAATGCTTGGGGGACGTTGGCAAGCAGGATTTCTAACACCGATGATAGCGGCTGCTAGGAGACGCGTGTACGAAAAAGATTTGCGTGCGCGTAGCGCGTAAGCAAAAACAAGGGCGGGCGCCATTGGGTTAACGTCGGAGCAAAATAACACTCGGGGGTCAATGCTGAGGTGCTGGCTGGTCCTGGCTCAGATTTAATGTGTACCTGATGCATGGATATGGCGGTCACAACTATAAAGACGAGTACACCTGTCTGGAACACGGGTAGGGAAAACATCGCGAGGGTGGCACTGCTAATCTGGAGCTTGCCCAAGGAGATCTTGGTCAGTTTGTCACGTTAGAATACATGCATGCACTGGCTTCTAACCCACCTCCAGCCATTTGGGATTTTGTTGAAAAGTATGTTTAGGTGATGACAAGTTCAGATAAGAATAAATGCTGAATTTTTCCATTTAAATGTTACACTAAAAAGACATTGGGAAGTGCAGCATGGTGAGATGATTTACATTTTACAATATATTTTGCAGCTATGCTGTCTATTGAGCAGCATGATGCTCATCATCATAGTCTGCCCTATTATCAAAGCCCTAGGGAACAACCTCTGAGTTGACAGAGAGAGCACACCACTGCTGCTGTTATTGTGGGGCAATCACATAGCTTTACATGCAACATGGAACATGGCTCCACCTAGGATTTTGCTTTTTGTCTCTTGTAAGCACAATGTATGCATATTGTGGTCTTTCAAGTTCTGGATGTCCTGGTAATCTTTTATTGGAGCACTGATGTGTGCAAACAGAATGTGTTAATGTGACACAAGTAAGTGTGATATGTAAGCTTTATTACTGGTATATCTGCATTCCATGGTTGAGGCCCACAGGTGTGAGGTCTCTGATCAGCAGATATTTCCACCTGAAGCTTGAAAACCATCCATGGCCTACAGCCATGATATTTCTACCATAGCATATGGTACAAAAGTTCTCAAATATAATGGATAACTCTCTATTTTCAGATGCTCCAGGACAAGAATTGCAGGGAAAATTGCATGGCCAAATAAGGCCTGCATCGCACCAAGACCAACATGGTGAGTTTCATATAAGGCATTGTGTTAAAGAAGGTAGTAGGGTCGTGGAAGGATGCTCTTCAAGCACAAAAACATTACAAATCGATCTATTTTATAACTGCTCAATCAGATCTCGTCAGCTACCATCATTACACACTTCTTGATATGTATATGTACATATGCAACACGTGAGTTGCGCACAACGTGCCTATCCCACTTTTTTTACCGCCACCTATTTGCACTACTTCTGAAGTGTTCTGGTGGCGGCGCCACTAGCACGTAGGCGGAGTCCGCTCGCGAGAGATGACGTCACGCGACGGCGGGCCCGCCGGCGCGTCGGTTCAATATTGCCACGAGAGTGCGTCCGACGGTACCGACGTGGGCACGGTCCGGGTCGCGGCCGGTCCGCGGCTGGTGCGGTTCCGAGCAGTGGGGACGCGCGGCGCGCAGGCGGAGGGGCGACGCGCTCTGTCGGCCGGGCGCGGCTGGCCGCGCCAGACGTCCGTCAGCACAGGTGAGTTTTGCATCGATCGGGGCCGGCGCCGAGCCCTTCCTTGCTACATGCCAGGATGAGTGCGACGGACGGAGTCCTGTCACGCAGGCACGCTGCCGGGAAAGTTGGGGGAAGTCCTGAGGCCTCTTGGCATGTGTGGTCAGCGTACGGTTGTTGTGACCTGAGGTCGGGAGGGCCGGCCGGCCTTGGCCTGGTCCGCCAACCGGCCGCGGCGCGCCGATGAGGCCATTACGTCGTTATCGACACGTGTGAGACGATCGTCGGCGCTCGCCGGGACGCCCGTAATTGGCTGGCTAAGCTCTGCCAAGTGTGACGGATCACCTGGCGAGCGGCTGCGACCCACACCGGTCAGTGTCGCTGGCGGTGACGTCTACGTCGCCCGGCCCACGAGATGAAGACCTGCCAGCAGCGTCCGCCGGCCGACCTAGACGTCGGCTGATGTAAGCAGAGACGGCCACCGCCAAGACCGGGTCAGCGTTGCTCTCTCATGTGTTTTGTTTTGCCCATCATCGCGCGCGCGGTGTCGCCTGAACTGGCTGCGACGCCCTCAGCGTCGGCCTCGTCTCGTCCGTCCCCGCGGCATGTGCGTGTCGGCCGGGCGACGTGCCGTCCGTCGCGGCGGGGAGCAGCCCTCCCCGCCGCCGCTGGCCGGCTGTTTACGGCCTGGCGGCCCGGCACCCCTCCCGGGCTCCCCTCACCGGGAGAGGTGCCGCTGGGAGCGCGCCCTCCGCCGGCAGGCCCTGCTCCCAGCAGAGGCCCTGGTGCGCGGCGGCTGCCGATGACCGCCTATCCAGCGTTCGGCCGTCTCTCCATCGGCTGCGCGCTGGCGGGCGGCGCTGTTTTGCCCTGACCCGGCAGGGCGCGCAGGTTGGTCGGGCGTCGCCCGGACGCCAGGTGGCGGCACCAACCCGGCTTCGTGCTGGGATCCGCCCGCCCACCGCGCCCCCCCCCGGCCGTGTCATGTCGCGGCGGGCTTCCATATCCGGCCGCGGGGCCGCGTGCGGCCCGCGACTGCGCTGCACCCCCCGGCAGCGCTCGACGCTCGCCGCCGGCTACGCTATTTACGCCGCATCGGCCCGCCGCGGCGGCCGACTCGGCGCACCCCCGTCCGGTTGGTCAAGGTTCGGTGGTTGTGCATGGCGCGTGAGCCGGCTGCCGTCTGCTGGCGGCTCGGGTTCGGGGAGGAAGGGAGGGGTAGTGGGAGCGGTGGCGGCCGGCTGAAAGTGTGGCGCGCGCTACTGGAGCTCGTTCTGACTGCCCGATGTAGACGGATATCTGCGTATGACGCTCGGGGGCGCCTGATAGCATGACAGCTAGGATTGCACCATCAGTGCTGCCCTTGGGAGCGCGTCGTATCTCTTCAGTGGTGCAGGCTGCGAGAGATGAGCAACAGCGTGGTAGGAGTGAACTCTGATCACCACACCATCTCCGTCAGCCGGGTCCTCTTCCGAAGATCTGGCGCGTTTGAAGAGTCCTCGCTGCTCGGCGACGCTAGGTCCACCTGGCCCGGTGCCCCCTAAAGTCGGTGGTTATTGTCAACGACTGTATGCGGCCATGTCTGACAGGATCGCGTGCTATGTCTTCTATTGCACACTCCAAGCTTAACATTCACGGATACGTGCGTTTTCGAGAAAACCGATCGACGTATTCGGTTGCCTTCAAATTGTCCATCGACTTTGGATGCATCTTCTGGTACAAGCAGAAAAATCGCGGGAGCAAAATACGTGGTGGAACTTGCTCACCATGAAATATTTTTGCTAATCTACGGTGAGTCCTCAAATAATTCCTAGTTATTCGGTACTGCCGATCACCGGCATACACCTGGAATGTACGTGTGGTGGTTTGTGCGATTTCATTATGTGAACTACTTTGGTAGACGTTTATTCCTGACTTTAACTTTTCAAAGCTTTGAGGCACACCTGGCGAAAATGTAAATCCAAGTACTCGCCCCGAAAACGTTTCCCAGTGCAGCGCTGAGCTGACGAAACTTTGTGGTTTGTTGCAAAATGTGTCTATAAAAGCTCATCATCCTAAACTTGTGTCGAGATCGTTTGCAAAGGCGCAAGAGATCCGATGATGAGAGGGTATCAAAGCTTCTTTATGACATGTTAACTAGCTTAGCCATTCCAGGCTAACATTTGTTGGATATGAGAGGGGAGGAATGGAGACAGCATAGAAATCAGGAGATGAACAGCAACAGCTCTCGGAAGTCCGTCCCGCCGCTGTCTGGCCGGGATGTGTGGTCCACAGCATCCGGGACAGGTTTCGGCCCATGTCCCAGCCCTGGTATGTGCCCGCGTGCCGTCGGTACGAACGCTCCAACCCATCAGTCTCGCCAGGTCGTGATTCATCAGGCCGATCCGGCAGAGGACGGGCGCATTCGGCGCTGGTAATCAGTCTGACTCGGGGCCGGGCCGCGCAGGCGCCGGCCAGGCCCGCGCGGCCCCGGCACGACCGGGCCCGGCCGATGGGGCGAACCCGGTCACGCAGGCGCGCGGCATTGTGCGTGAGAAGGTCATGTATTCACGAGACATTCACGAGCAGTCGCATGGCATTGTGTCTCATGTGCTGACACCACGCGCCCAACAAGTGGTGTTAGGCGCACAGATGTACACACGGCCCACCGCTCAGTAAGAATGGGCTTTTCTGGCAGCATGTCAGACGTGCAGTGGCGCGTTATGTCATTTATAGCTTGCCGTTTAAGGGTTTTGATATCGGTGCTACAGCGCAATGATCCACCACTCGGCATCACTTGAGCTTTTATGAAATGCGAACATAGGCACATGACTCTAATCAGTGCGCATTGGAAACAGGTGTTTGTTTTTTAGCCCACCACCCTCTCACGGTGCACTTTCAATGGACCTCTCATTCATTGCCATCGAAAGATCGCATCCCCCCAGTTCACACGGCCGGACCCGGCGCCCGATGCGCGCGACTCGGCTGCGGTGCGATCGCGCGCGCGCGTATTAATAGCACGTCGGCCGTGGCGTCCCAGTGGCGCCTGCTCTCAGGCTTCGCGCAGGCCGCCTTGACGCTCTCGCCGCGTGCCGACCATGGCACGGAGAAGGCGGCCGCACCCCGGCCAAACCGTTGGTGCTGCGGACGGAGGGCAGAGACGTAGTTGCGCGAATCAAGTTGAGTAGAGCAGGGAGAAATGGCTAAGCCTATCTTCAAAATACGCAAAAAGCAGGTTTTCTAGGATTTGTCTCACGGACTTGTCCCACTTTCCTCTCGATGTTGGGTGGGGGCATAGGGGGTAGTCCCCCATCGGAATAAGAAACCACACCCCTGGCGGAGGGCAAAGGTAGTGTAGTGCGGCGCTCATAGTTTTCTGTGAACAGAGCCCATAGGCTCGGCGGGGGTCAATCGGTTGAATTTGAGTGCCCTGGCCTGACGTGGGTGCAGAGTGTGAACTGTGGACAGTAGCGATGACTCATTGGTGCTCGAATGCTCGACACTCAACACGGGGGCGGAGACGAAGCTTCATCAAACTATTTGGTGGCTGATAACCAGATCTTCGTAACAGCCATGGGCCTGGTGCTGTTTGCAGGTGTCTGTGGGGTGATTAAGCTCACGTTAGGAGCCGACACCAACATGGGGGAGGGGCAAAGCGACGGAGACACAGAACTTTTTAGTTTGTAACGCCGTCGGACTAGGCGACTTCGCTGCCACCTTGCTGGGCTGTCGCCGCCGGCCTGTCGCTCCGCTAGCTGAGCCTTCCACCGGGCCAGCCGATGACCGTGGCGTCTGGTATCGCTCGCGCCTGCCCGGCACGTGGCCGCCGGCGGTGACCGTGGCGGGCGCGGGTCTGTTGCATGCGGCGGCACGCGACCGGTGACGTGACGGCTCGCTCCGTCACGGCCCGCGCCGCCGCCGGCAGTCGCGACGCCGAGCGGCGGTCAGGTGCGGCGCGCCGCCGGTCTGATAACGCCAGCGTCGATAGCCGGCCGGAATGCGCCGTCTGACGGCAGTATCGCGGCATCTGTCCGGCCGCGGCGTGTGACTGGGCTGGCCCGGGCCGCGCCGCCTCGCCATGGCCGTGACCATCGCGTACGAGAGGAGGTCGGTGGGCATCCAGGTGGGTGAGACCCGCCCTGGCGCCGCTCCGCAGCCGGCCGGCCGGCCCTGAGGCTCGGAGGCGGCCGCGGGCCGGCGCCGCGGCTCGGCGGGGCTGCGGTACACACCGCGTGAGCACGCGTCCCGTGCGGCGTCACGCTGGGCAGTGCTGTGTCGACGCGCTCCGGTGACGCGGCCTGCCGTCGGGCTCCGGCGTTGAATGGCACACTGTGACATTACATTCCCGCCGCTGCCAGGCAGGGATCCAGCTAGTCTGGCCGCCTGCCGTGACCGATAAACCGCGACTGCCACAGCCATGGCCCGTGCTGAAGCGAGGTTACGGACGATCGGGCCGAAACGTGACAGCTTCGACGGCACTGGCAGGTTGGCAGTTGCCGGCACGGGACATGCCGGTGCCGGTTGTGCGGCTTGGCGCGGCGTAGAGTTGGTGCCGACCGGGTCAGGTGCTGGGCTGAGGTTGCTCGTGTTGGCTGGGGGATGAGGGGGGGGGGGGTCGGCCGAGCCATCCGCCGTCGGTGCCAGATAGGCCGAGACGCCCGCCAACACAAATAAACAGCCATTACACGGTCACCGCCGACACGGACGCCGCCGCGACCACCGGGCGGCCGTCGCCAGTTCCTGGTGGGGCGGGGGAGGGGGCTCTCCCCGGGGGACGCCGCCGTCGGACTCCGCCAGCGGTCCGCCGGCCGGCGAGCCGAGCTACATCGCGCTCGTCAGCGGACCGGTGTCGGCCGGCTCGGCTCCGCGCCGCTGCTGGGCGGCGCCGGCGGCTCCCTGGGCCGGAGGGGCTGCCGCGCTTTGCCGGGTGCGGACGCGGCATGCGGGCGGGTCAGCTGATAGCTAGTCGGCAGGGCGGCCGCCGGAGGTCGGCTCCGCGGGACGCCGTGGCCACCGCCGTCGAGAGTCAGCGGCGGGGCGCTGCC